CCCGCAGACCAACGGGCTGACGGAGCGACTCAACAGGACAATCGCCGACATAATCTCTATGTACGTCGACGTGGAGCACAAGACGTGGGACGAGGTGTTGCCCTACGTCACGTTCGCTTACAATAAGGCGGTTCAAGAGACCACTGGATTCACACCTTTCCAGCTGGTACATGGTCGGAAGGTAACGACCATGCTGGACGCGATGCTGCCCCATGAGCCAGCTGAGAATGAGAGCTACGACGCCCAGGTGGTTGCTCAACGGGCCGAAGAAGTCCGCCAGCTCGCCCGACTCCTGATTCAAGACCAGCAGCGCGTCGACGCCGGCCGCTACAACCTTCGTCGCAGGGACGTCAACTTCCAGCCCGGAGACAGGGTGTGGGTGTGAACGCCCCTCCGTCGCCGCGGCCTCAGTGAGAAACTGCTGAAACGGTACTTTGGACCATACAAGGTACTTCGTCATCTGGGGGGCTTAACTACGAGGTGATGCCCGACGGGACACGAACATCATCACGCCGCCCACCACGACCTGAGGTCGTCCACGTCGTGCGCCTGAAGCCGTACTACGCTCGATAGGACTGTGGACTTTATGCGTTCCAAGTGACTCTTTAGTTTGCGGTTATTTTTATTAATTTTTTGTTTTGTTTGTTGTTTGTGTTGTGCTGCATCGGGCCTATACACTTTTTAAAGGGGGGAGTAATGCCGCGCGCGCTGTAGGCACCGCGGCCGTGGCCCAGCGGTTATCTTGCCTGCCTCCCACGCGAAGTGCCCGGGTTCGATTCCTGGGAGCGACGCGTCTTTTGTTTATCCTTGCAATTTAGTGTTCTAGTAAATTCGAGAATCCCGTTGCTTGTTCGAGGTGCGAATGTTCTCGTCGCCGAACCTTCTAGGCTGACTGTTCCAGAAACCAACGCGTGTACATAAGGGGCTCCGCTTGGCAATCCTGAGTCAGTTTTTCGCCCCAGCGTTCGACTCTGCTGCTACGCCGACTTCGACGCCCACGACGCTGTGTTATTATCTTTTGTACTCTTTTATTTTTGGCACAAGTTCGCCACATTAAACGTTTACTTCTTCCTGTTTATTTATTGCTTATTGGTCACCACCCGTGAGATTATGACAAGAGAACACAGTGGCATGCTGGCGTCGTCTATGAGGTGGCCCTAGAACTGCCTTTCACCCGAGCGAAAGTTTTGCAGTATTTGGGAGATAAATTATACGTAGTACTACCTATGAGAAATGATTGTCCATCTTAATGATGTCAAAAGTTTCCGAAGCAATATAGAAAGAATACTGCGCGAAGAGAAGGGAGATATGCGGAAATCCCAAAAGTTCAACGGCTACCGAATATATGGCGCCAGTGGTCCATATGTTGGGTAGCAAAATATGGCGGCCAGTGGTTCTGGTCGTAATAAATCACAAGGGGTTTTAAGGCACACGGTCGTAAACAGTCCCAAGTGTGTGACCTCGCGTTAATCCACAGCTTCTCGGCCGTGAGGTCGTCTTTCGTCGAGATGCGTCTTGTAGTTGTTCGTAGACAAGACCAACGCTTCGAGCTATTTCCTCTCGCCTCTCTCTCGAGGGCTAAGTCGTCGCTTGTGAAAAACAGGTGGATTTTGTAAAGCAGCAAGAAAGGTAAAAGTCATCACTAGTAGCAGCAGACGACGCCGACGTTCGAACCTCCAGATGATGACGACACTGGTCCCTTTGCGCGAGGAGCAGATGACGGTCTCGCTTGCACCGACTGGAAGGGGATAGTGAGTGGAGTCGAAGGCGGCCAGCTCTTGCGCTCACCCACTAATCTAAAATCAGAGCTGGGCTCTCTAACGACGGCGCACGGTTTGCGCACGAGGCCGACAAACTTGCGCTACTCATACTTTTTTCAGTAGTTTTAGTTTGCTCATCTTAACAAATATCATCTACGGGGTTGTGAAACGAGTTTCGAGCATGCACAATTTCTTTCTACTGAAACTTTCTACGGAAGATCGGTCCGGTCTTTCGCGCTTCAGCAAATGGCCGAAGCGTCTTTTGCGCTTCTGTCATATGCGCTGGAATTGTGCATAGTCACCGGCGGGTCTAGAACGGCAGGGAGTTGCTTCGGTTATCCCGCCTTCAGCGCGAGCTTCTTCCCTTCGATGATGCTTCGGCGACTTAGTTTTGAGCGGTCACGCCTAGCTAAAGCATGACGGAAGTCAACAAGCACGTGCATCAGAAAGGGATGCCCTGGCGTTTTCATTTCTCTCGGCGATTATACTCTTCTGGGTAGTGGTATCGGCGCAATACCAGAGTCGTTTGTCGGCGAAGAAATGGAACATTAGAGAGCGCTTTGTCCAGTTTGTTTTTTCTTCAGGTCTATTTGTTGTTGTTGTTTGCGTGTTTTATGGCGCAAGAGCTCTGACGGCCATACTGCGCCAAACTAGGTAAGATAAAAACATTGGTAAAAGTACACTGACTAGACTAGAACTTGGCTATAGTTTGTTTAAAATACCTGTAGTTTTGAGAAAAGCTAAAAGACGTTCAAGTGATATAAGAGGCTGTTCCCCTAGAATCAAGACAGGGTGAAATGGGATGTTGTACTTGAAAAACTCGGGGAAATAGGTCTTGTATTGTTGTAGAAGGCCACGGCAAAGACAGAGAACATGCAGAACAGATAAGGTTTCTCCACAGTGCTTGCATGTTGGCGGTCCCTCACCTATAAGCAGGTATTGATGGGTTAGGAACGAGTGGCCGATTCTCAACCGGCACAGGAGGACTCCGAGGAAACGATTTTTATTATAGGAGGTTTCCCATGCACCAAGTTCTGGTTTGATGGCATGAAGCTTATTGTTATCAGCTAACTTCCATTCAGATTGCCATAGCTGCGAGAGTGAACATTTTACGGACGTTTTAAGGCCTTGGTAATGTGTGCGGACATTCGACGGTAAAAGGTTGTGTGAAGAGGCGGCTAGTCTATCTGTAGCCTCGTTGCTTGCGATGGCCGCATGGCTCGGGATCCAGCAAAACAATGTTTTTCCCACCAGCAAGTCCCTGTTGAGCTCTGCCCCGTACGAGTTGAGTCAACTTATTCATAGTTGGTGTAACAGAGCATACTGCAGTAAGAACACTCTGAGAGTCTACAAATATAATGGCTTTCATCACTTTGCTCCAGATTATATAGTCAAGTGCTGCCAGAACACCATATAGTTCGGCAGTAAAAATTCTGGCGTTATTGTTGAGTCAACTTATTCATAGTTGGTGTAACAGAGCATACTGCAGTAAGAACACTATGAGAGTCTACAAATATAATGGCTTTCATCCCTTTGCTCTCGATTATAGAGTCAAGTGCTGCCAGTACACCATATAGTTCGGCAGTAAAAATGCTGGCGACATTGTTAAGTCAAGTAACATGGGTAAACGAATTTGAATACACAGCGGAGCCGACATACATTGAAGACTTGGCACCGTCAGTGTAAAACTGGCAGTTATATTTGTATATATCTTGCAGAGCCAAGGATTCCTGTTGTAGAATGAGTGAAGACACGTTATGTTTATTAAATTTTGTAAAATACCAATCACAAGCTATAGGTTTGACATCCCATGGAGCAGTATCATATGCACTTTCTGCGAAATGAACACCCTCACGTGGCAGGTTAAGGGAGAGACGAAGGCTCTTAAAACGAAGGCTCAAGGGTCGAACAACAGTTGGTTTATGCTCTAAAGTACAACAAAACTTAGAATCTCGAATACTACTGTGGGCTGGATGGCTGGGTTCCGATGACACCTTGTAGGCATACACCAGACTTAGATACTGCCGCCTTTTTTCAAGTGACATTTCGTTGGAGTCAGCATACAAGCTTAAAACAGGAAATGTCCTAAAAGCACAGGTTGCAAGACGCAACCGAAGGCGATGCACAGGGTCAAGCATTTTCAAGGCAAACGGATGAGCAGGCGCGAACACAACAGACCCATTCTACAGGTCGGTGCTTACCTAAAACAAAGTCCAGTACACCGGATTTTGTTTTACGTCATCCATCTTATTCGAGCGCGGGGCACAAATTGAACGCGAGCTTCACGCGATCGCTGTGTCAGGCACAAGTAATTATGCCTCTTGAAGATGTCCACCACTGATCTCTATTGTAGTAGGCTGGATCGCGGACCGCGGCCTCGGCAGCTGGGTTCGAGTGTCGCCACCGGCGGCCATTGATTGACACCAGCCAATGCATAGGGCTCTATGGGAAGAACGAGAAAAAGTGACGTTTTCCCCTGTTTCTAAGCTGTTCTCGGCACTGAAACTTTTTGGATGATTTTCGATAAGCCCTTCAAATAGCTTCCATACAAACATTAAAACTGACAGCCCTCGCAGTACTTATAAATAAATATTTTGTGGCCGAGAGTGACTCCGCTGTACTGCAGCTCAATGAGGCGAGAGTTACCTAGAGTTACCGCGGAGTCGGTGGCGCTTTCGTCGAGTTGGGTTTAGCAGACGACAAGCTCGAAGGCTTTGCTACGCGGAATTCGCTCACGCCCGGGAAGCTGCTTTCGAGATCTAATTTCGTTGTCATTCATAAACTTCTGGGCTTCCCCAAGGGCGGTCTTATTGACGGCAAGTTCCTTTGTTTACTCCACTACGAGAGCAAGCCTGCCAGCTCAGCCGTAGGTGCTCCGGTACGTTTGATTTTTTTATTTGGCGACCGGACGTTTGACAAATACCGATTCGATCTCCAAACACCCGACATAAGGATCGCAGCGCCCCATAAGATACTCGCCTCCGAGCACAGCGTACGTTCTTCAATATGCTTACTTTTGTGCGTTTCTCCCATAGACTTGCGTGTATTGCCTGGTGTCAAGCAGTGGCCGCCGGTGGCGACACCGACGGGCTCCCGATCCGCGATCCAGCCTACTAAAATAGAGATCAGTGATGTCCACAGTCTAGCCAGCAACATGCTCGCGACGGCTGCTCCTGCTTCGCACGCGCATGAAGAGAAAGGAAACATGGGAAGCGTCGATGCATCCTTGGGGGTGTCTACCTGTATGCGCGCCTCGTTGAGCTTGGTGATCCTGGCCAGCTCCTCCCTGCAGTAGATGTCCGGGTAGTGACTCTTGGCGAAGGCGGCCTCGAGCTCCTGCAGCTGCTCCTGGCTGAAGGTGGTGCGGTGCCGACGCCTGGCGGGCGTCGTGGGACTGCACGCCGAGGCCAGGGCGCCGCAGCTGGACAGGGGCCCGCCGCCACCGTCCGGCTCCAGCTTGAGCTTCTTGAAGGCCCCGTCGCCTGCACCCGCGAGAAAAGAAATTTACGACATGCGCTTCTTGTTCACTGATCTAACCCCCACTTGGCGTATTCACCTCTCACTTTTACGCCATATGCAAATTCCAGACAAACAAAACATGGGCTGATTAAAAAAAGAAAAGGTAATGAGTGTCTTGCGGTTGCAACATGCTGTTCACAATGCTGAATGCTGGGCTAGTGGTATTGGTCTTGGGTTGCCAAATGCATTGTAGCGCTTTTTAGACGAGGACAAAAGATGTCGACAGTCTAGCCAGACATCCTGCTTATCTGTGAAGGTACACAAGACGTCTTCTTTCATCCTGCGTACCTTTTGTACTCGTCTAAAAAGCGCTACCATGCCTTTGGCAACCCGATACTGTTAACATTGTCATTCTCCCTTACCATTTCGTGGTGGCAATGCGATCAAAGAAAGAACATCGCAACTTCTGAACTTCTGAACAATTTTGTACTAGTCATCGCACTCCTTTTTATTGGCGATGGGCTCGTCGAAGAGCGTCGCTGTCATCGGCCTTATACAATTGGGCAAACGCTCGCTAGGACGTCTCGAGTAAAACAATGTCTGCTCTCATCAAAGGAAATAAGAGCGAATTCACACTCTCCACTCTGGCGGTGTTGATTTGGGAACGTGATGCCGTCTCCCGGCGTTTGTTTTTTAAAAAACGCCGTCTCCACGGCGTTTTTTTTTTTTTTTTTTTACGGATTGTCGATTTTGTCACTCGCTGCAAATAATCTCGGCCATGACGTCAGAAATGGAAACCCCAAGATGCCGGCACCAAAGCATCTCGTCGCCAATAGTTCTTGTAGTTGACTTGGAGTGCGACAGTCTTAAATAGCTTCAGAGATGACTAAATATCAGTAGTTGGTTCCGCACGAAACCTATCTAACGATGGATTGTCAACTTTTGTGGTTCAGACACATAATCTTTTTACGCGTTGTTTTTGCCTGGTGAATTTAGAACGAAAAATAAACGTTGAAGGAGGCGAACTTGTACTATACAAACCTAAAGAGAAATCTGCCACGCATCTTGCGTCGGTGACGAAACGGCAACTGACTCGAGGCAGCGCGTTATAACTACTTTTATAAACGCGGCACGTTCAGAGCTGTTTTGAAAAAAAAAAAAAAAAAGTGATGTCAGCCGTGAATAAACTTCGCCTTTAAGAATGGAACGCGATAACGTTTTCGGGCTCCGCTCACATCACCTTCTCATTCACATGTCATGCTCTTCCTACCATTGAGCAGAAAGTGTGGCGGACATTGCTTAGTCAGTACAACATCACCTAGATAAGCAGAAGGCCTCCGCACCGCCATCACAGTCAGATCGATCAAGGCCTGAGATTGGGCACGAGTGCTGCGTCAGTGTTCGGCCGGGGCTTGCGTCCAATCAGCGCGTCAAAGGTCGGACTGAAGCCCAATAGCCGAGTTAGCGTGATCCGAATCTGATGACGTTTCATGAAAGGAGAATAGACGATGCGGAGGCTTTCATTATTCTAGGTGGTGGTGGTCAGTAGCGTGTCTGGCTCTTAACCGAAGGGTGGTGTTTTCGGAACTTCAGAATCGCATCAAATTATTAAAAATTTTTGTAAAGGAAAATTAAGTACTTTATAAAGTGAAATGACATGAGACATGCGGTGACCTTTCATTTGCATTACATGTAATGTTTTTTTAATCACTTTCACTACACGCGTAACGTCACGTTTTACGCGAGCGTTACGGGTTGTTTGATATTCCCGCGCTAGTTCCCTCGCTCTGACGTCACGACCCCATCGACCAATCAGGATTTTCCCGTCACAACGCCGCCGACGCCGGCTTTTCTGCGATACGAGCTCCTTAACGCTTTCGCGTTAAAAGAGGATCCGGGCCCGAGCGGGATTCCAACCCCCTTCTTCTGCGTGACAGCTGCGTGCTTTGCCAACTTCGCCATGCGCGCGAATGCTTTTAGTTTTTATTTGATTTATTTCCCGATTTGGACGATTACACAAGGCGGTGACACACAATCGCGATAAAGCACTAAAAGACAGCAGCCATCTTGGCTTACGTTGAACGTGCTACAAGTCTTTTTGGGTAGACAATACCTCAAGATGTAGGAGCCACTCAGGTGTAGGCAGAGGTCGGCATTTTAGGTCGCCCTCACTCACCCTCACCCTCACAGCCACACTCACCTAAGCCCCTCACTCACCCTCACCCTCACAGCCACACTCGCCTAAGCCCCTCACTCACCCTCACCCTCACAGCTACACTCACCTTGAGCACCTCACTCACCCTCACCCTCACAGTCACACTCACCTTCAGCACTTCACTCACCCTCACTGAACCTCACGGCCCTCACGCACTCACCGCCCTCACGCCCCTCATGCCCCTCACGCCTCTCACGCCCCTCACGGCCCTCACGCCCCTCACTCACTCGTGGCCCTCACGCCACTCACCGCCCTCACGCCACTCACCGCCCTCACGGCCCTCACCGCCCTCACCGCCCTCACGGCCCTCACCGCCCTCACCGCCCTCACGGCCCTCACGGCCCTCACGCACTCATAGCCCTCACGCTCCTCACCGCCCTCACGGCCCTCACTGCCCTCACCGCCCTCACTGCCCTCACCGCCATCACTGCCCTCACCGCCCTCACCGCCCTCACCGCCCTCACTGCCCTCACCGCCCTCACCGCCCTCACCGCCCTCACCGCCCTCACGGCCCTCACCGCCCTCACGGCCCTCACGCCACTCACCGCCCTCACGCCACTCACCGCCCTCACGCACTCATGGCCCTCACGCCACTCAGGCCAGCTTCTAATGGGGCAATTTCGCCCAGAAACTTTACGTCGCAACACCAGCAACACGCGCCGCCCGCGATCACACGCAGCAACCAATTGCTGCTATTTGCCATCGTCATCATAAAATTTTATTTTTCTTGCACTATTTAGACACAATTACGCGTTATAAACGTGTTTTTATGCATTTAAATCTCGTTAAGAGTACTAATGGACCTTTCTGAAACAGTTTATTTCCAAAAAACGATCGATTTCACACGAGAACCAAGTCTTTTGGTGTCATCATCACCGGCACGAGGTAACACGTGAAAATTTTGCGTCCCTGATTAGATGCAGCCGCTTCAAACGTATTCGAATTGCTCCGAGTTGCTTGCTTATTTCGAGCCGGACCCGATCTCAGCAATTCGTGTCGATCTAGGGAAAGCTCGAGAACAACCCGCCATTAACACCAAAATTGCTGAGAAAGATGCTCGATCTGAAGGGGGCCTCACGCACTCACCGCCCTCACGGCCCTCACACCACCTCATGCACTCACCGCCCTCACGGCCCTCACGCCTCTCATGCCACTCACTGCCCTCACGCACTCATGGCTCTCACACCCCTCACGCACTCACCGCCCTCACACCACTCACGCACTCATGGCCCTCACGCCACTCACCGCCCTCACGCCCCTCACGCACTCATGGCCCTCATACCCCTTACCGCCCGCACCGCCCTCATGGCGCTCACGACCCTCACGGCCCTCACCGCCCTCACGGCCCTCACGGCCCTCACCGCCCTCACGGCCCTCACGGCCCTCACCGCCCTCACGGCCCTCACCGCCCTCACAGCCCTCACGGCCCTCACTCACCCTCACACTCATGAATTTTCCTGGTTCAGAAACTCACTCACCCTCACCTCACCTGTGAAGATGAGGGTGAGTGAGGGCCCTCATGAGTGAGGTTTGCCGAGGTATGGGTGTAGGTTGCTGGTTCATATGCAAAGCAGGTGTGCTTAACAAAGTACTCATGCACGGGGCGAACATCGATATCCGCCTGGCTTAGGGCCATGCGGCACCGCCATGTGCTGTGCAGGCCCGGCAGTATAGATCATGTCGGAACGCCAATTTCCCCTTCTGCCGCTCAAAAACATATGCCATGGGCGTTAATCGGAAGTATTTTTTGACGGTCCTTTGCAGGACGTCCCAGAAGAAGACCACGTCCCAACAGTCGCGGAAAACGTGGTCAACCGTTTCCTCCTTTTTGCGCAGTATTCAGTTGCAAGACCAAGCTACTGAGGCACCTTTTTGAACTAAGCAGATTTTAGCTGAAAATGTTTGACTATGCAACTTAAAAAAAAAAGTATTCGTGTTTCAGGATATTACACCATTCGTTTGACTCGCTTTAAGACATCCGCCCTGGGCCTGCACTGTACTAAGAAAACGATACAGATTAATAGGAAAGAAACGAATAAATTAAATCCTTCTTTAGTTGCTTGCACGATATACCAGACAACTATTCGAGTGAGAAACACGCGACTAAAAGCCAATAATCACCAACAACTTTCTTTATATACCCGCGCACCTATGTCCTCGCTTTACGAAAGAATAAACTCAGGAAACAAACCACGCAATCTCGCATGAATAGAGAGTTTTCGTAGACCGCGTTTCCCGCTCCGCTAAGCCATCCGCTAAACCCTCCGCAACGAAGAAGCAGCTACTGCGCCTGCGCACCGATGGCCTTGACTGTAGAGTTTCGGGTATCGTAGAGGGGTTGGGGAGAGCGTTCCGGGTCGGCGAAAGCCATTTACGAAAACTCCCTATTAACGGTTTGTAAGAATGGATCATTTTGGTATCTTAGAAAAATGAATCTACTGGTCAAATGCTTCACTCAGAAATGAAAAAAAAAGAAACAAAACACGGTACTTAATTACGACTAGACGATAAAAGGAAATATAGATTGACATGCGAAACGTCGTGTTTATACGACTCAACAACCATTTGTTCACCTCGATCACATATATCCTAACTGAATCGAAAGGTCGTCACAAAGTGCTGTAGGTCGCCTAAAATACCCTTTATTGGTACAACTTTGCGTCGCAGAATTAAAAGTTAAATTGTAGTTGTGCTCTTAAAATAAGGAAATATTTACTGCGCATCAAACCATGGAAGGGGCACCTCGTCGCCATATATACTGTGAAATATAGTTTCAGAAGAACGTTTCACAATAAGTAGGATGACTAC